GTCCTCATAGTCCTAAATGTTCTCATGGTGAAGGTCTAAATACAGAGAGTGGTCCTCACAAAGAGAAAGAGACACACAAGAGCACACACACACACACACACACACACAGAATAACACAGCCTATAGAAACACACTTTCATGAAGACACACACATGTACTGCTGAGGTTAGTACATCATCTGCACAAACTCCAACTCAAACATTTACATACATGCACACAAGGCAGCACACACACGGACACACACACACATGCGCTCACATTAAGCGTGCAGCCCACTCAGTCGTATAGTTTCCAGGGAGGTAGAGGAATTTTTTTATTTTTTTATTTTTTGGTGAGCTCTCCACAGCAGAGGGAGGGAAGACAGTGTTTGATGTAGGGTGCGTTGGAGCACGCTCAGTGGAGTGGCGACCTCAGATGCACCCGGCCTCGGTATGCTGTGGAAACATAATGGGAGTCGGTTGAGAGTTCAGGCGAGGCTGTCCAGAATTTACATTTATATTAACGCTGCAAACCCCCCGAGCTGCACTGCAGCTGAGGAGAGAGAAGCACACAGAGTGCCTGCGCTCACGTCTTCATGATCAAACTGTTGTTTCAGTCTTGTCTTACTCGCTTTTATGTTGCTGTTTGCATAGAAATGCTCCCAGCAAGATCTTGTGGAGTTTTGTTGTGATGATTTCAAACCCAAAATGAGAGTTGTTTTTTTTTAAATATTTTTATTTTGTTGTTTAAAATTTTGGAAAAGGGAAAAAAAAAAATGCAGTAGTTTTATTTGAACGGTATTTGTGTTGCATTAGCATTTCAGTGGTCTCGGAGCTGCATTAGTGGTTTGTTAGCATTGCATTATATACCACAGAAGCACTTTACCAGAATGTTAAACACCATCCACAGTCACTCCCATATTTATTATGTAGTGTTCTATATTTACCACCCACCATCTTATTAAGTCTGAGTGTGAAACAAAAAACCCTTTACAGTACCTCAAAAATTCCCACAGTGAAACAAGATAGCAGTGTGATGGCGTGTAGTCAGCTTTCTGATACCACACCCACAATGTTACATTTCATAGATGAGAAAATGACCATTGTTCAATTTATTGATCACTACAGAGCGAACTACTGGGTGTTTAATAAATAGGGACGAATGAGTGAGAGAACATGCAACCTCTGGAGAACAATGTTGTATAGCTAGTAGTTTACATGTCATACTTTTACTTAAATGTGTTCATCTTAAATCAGCGGTCTTCAACCTTTTTTGCACCACGGACCGGTTTTAAGCAAGAAATTTTTCTACGGACCGGTCATTACACACATAAATAATAATTGTTTTTTTTTTTCTATTGAAAAGTTTCATAAATAAAGAAAATTAATTTTTATTGTTTAACATGTTTACTTTTTCTACTGTCTCAGTATCAAGTCTCTCCCACTTTCCAAAGCAGCTCTCCTGAGACGTTTGTTTTTGACTGACGGCTTCGTTTAGCAGCCGGGCATAAAAACTGACAGTCAAGTACGGGAAACCAACACAAACGGAAGTGACGGGAAGACGAGCTAGTCATTTTTCAAAATAAAACACCCTGCAGACTCCGCTGGAAATAAAAATAAACCAATAAAATGTTTTTTATTCTATCTGTGCGGCCCGGTACCAAATGACCCATGGCCCGGTACCGGTCCACGACCCAGTGGTTGTCTTAAATAATATAGCTGATGTTCCTCAAGGTATAAACTCAGGCATCTCCTGGATAATGTAACTGGACTGTCAGTTCATGTTGTAACCATCGGCTTTATTTGGGCTTATCTTTATTTTTGAGAAATCCTGTTTTGTATGTTTGACGGTAGAAATGGTAAAGCCAGTGACACAAACATTTGTTTGCAGACATTGTTTTGCAGCCTTGAATTTGACATTCTGCTGTCGTCATCCTGGGTTTTTAAAGACAGAAATGGCAACATGGGGTGAATCTGACTGAAATATCAAGGACACTAAACATTACAAAACAGAAGTGATTCTTCAATCACAAGGTAGTTAGAAGTGCTTCAGGAGACAACAACTGGACTTTTTTTGTTTCCTTTTGTCCAGTTACCTTCTACTAAAGCACGTAGGATTGCCCTGATCGTGATTACTAAGAATCTATAAAGACACAAGGTAGCAAAGCCCTAAAGCAGGGGTGTCCAATCCTGGTCCTCGAGGGCCACAATCCTGCATGTTTCAAATGATCAGCTCATCATCAAGCTCTGCAGAAGCCTGATAACGATCCCGATCATTTGAATCAGGTGTGTTGGAAGAGAAAAACATCTAAAACATGCAGGATTGCGGCCCTCGAGGACCAGGATTGGACACCCCTGCCCTAAAGCATAGCCTACTTAGCTGCCTATTTTACTCTAAATGGGACCTTAATTTCCATTATTACCATCATGCTGTGCTGAAGAAGCATTCAAAGTAGTGACTGAGACCATGAACTCATTAGGAAAATGTTTACTTTGTTAATGAATCAAGTAAGAAGTAGGGTTGTTTTCTTATAGACTTCAATACCTCTTTATGCAACCAGAGGAGTCGCCCTCTGCTGGCTTATAAAAGAAATGCACACATAAGTCAGTTCTGCATTGACTTCACAAGTGGTGTCTACTACTTCCATACAGTGTAGGTAGATACTACAATACCCATCAGCCTCAGTTCAGATTTCTCTACAGAAGAAGCTGCAGAAGTTGTTGCATGTGTGCCCTTATATGCAACTGATGGTATGATGTATGCCAGGTGGGTTCTGTCACGCTTTGATCATGCTGATGGCAACTTAGATCAACCAATCAAACCTACAGTTCCCATAACACCCTTCTCAGCTTCAAAGACATTTACATAGACGTGTGCAAGTTTGTTTGTAGAACTTCTTTCATACACATATTTAAAGTGCTTTACTTACCGCATTATTAAACTGAAAATACAGCAAAAAGAAGAAGTTGCAAGATTGAAAACAAAGAAATGAATGCTGGTATAAAAATGATAGTTTTAGTCAAAAGCAGTGGAAAACATAAAAGATTTAAATCTGTATTTAAATCTTTGGGTGCTCAAAGTCAAGGTTTATAATGTCGAGAGGTTTTGTGTTTCTGTTGTGTGGTGAGTAAATTCAGCTTTTACTGAGCTGCACCTTGGGAGTCCCGGTTTTTATGCTTTTGCACAGGCCTTTGAATGAAAGAACCATGCAGAGATCCTCCTCTTTTGTCAGCCAGACACAAAGCATGTTTATCCAGGTCAATCTTCTGACATTACCTGTGCAATTTTTTATTTTTTTTTTTAAATTATCAGAAAATACTTTCCTCTACACTAAATTTACTCCTCTTACTTTTCAGTTGATTTAATAATGCTGTCCATGTCAACATTTTAGCTGTTGGACTGTTTGCTTTAAAAAATAAAAAATCTACTTCAGCTGACAGGAACTGACCAAAATGAAAAACAGAAGTGACATTTGGTATGCGTTGCGCTCGTATCTGACTTGCTAGTTTCTACCCAGAAATACTAAAAATAAAACTGTGCTAATTGAAGTTTCCATCGTTACACCACGCTCTTTTCAAAATAGAAGTTCCGCCATACAGAGATTCCAATCTTGGGTTCAAAGCTACAGATGTAAAAACAAGTCTTTGAAGCATCTTATCCTTCCTGGTGTAAATCTTCCATGTTGTTGGCCTTATTATGCATCATTTGCAGGTCATGCTGTGGGTTCCTGAAATGTGTCAGTAAGACCTCTGACTGCATGAATTAAATTTCACATTTAAAAATATCAGTACAAATGTGTAGACGGTGTTTGGCAGGAGTCTCTCGAGTCTTGAAATGTCATTAGACCATCATAATTATACTTTTCACAGAGACAGTGAAGTTCATTTGCCATCCACACACAGTGGGCAGGCCAGGGCTCAGTGTCTTGCTCAAGGAAACTACAGAAGAACAAACAGCTGCCGGCTACAGGAACCTGACTTCCAGCAGAACTGAGAAGCTGCTGTGTTTTGTTTTTGCAGATCATGACTATGGAAGACGGCGTCTGAAATTCTGTTTGGTATTAAGAGTCTTCAGCCACAGCACCAGCAGCAGATTGAGGTGGTGCCACACCGAGCTACAGCCAGGTACTGTTTCACAAATGTTATTTCAAATCAGGTATTTGTCTTATCAGTTTTCTGCTCATGGTTAGCACAACAACAACCTTTGATAAGCTCCAGGAGAAATAGGACTAAAGAATAAAACAGTGAATTGCTGCTGGGGTGTTTCCAGACGGCCTCTACATGGTCAGTATGGTTGGCTTCAGGAGGTGTTTGTTCAGTTGTTCAGAATGGTTTCTAAGTTGTAGCTGGGTAGTTGTTAAGTGGTTTTATGCCACGTTAACGTCATCGGGAAGAGAAGATAATGATGGAAATGTTCTCCAATGCTTTCGCGCCATCAGAAACTATGGCAACTGCTGGTCTTCATTACTGAAGATTCCTGCTGTCAGGAAATAAATAGTAAGACACAAATGTTCGCTTCATTTCCTTCAAACAACGTCACATTACCATGCAGGGAAGTTTCACATTTCTATCTGAGCAGTCGTGTTACTGCAGAATCGGACGTGTGGTGGATAACAATAGTGCGCTTGTTTATTATACAGTAGCACTAAAACCTAAGTGTTTAATTCCACTTAACGACGGACTTTGGCTGACGTATGAATCCACGTTTGCCTTTTGCTGGCACTGTTCACTGCCAACTTGGATATATTGGAGCTTTTAGAAAAATTTGGCTAGCCAGTCATGATTCTAACTTGGACGCTGACGTGAATAGCAAGTGGGACTCGTGCTGTATTATTCAGTGCTTTCCATGGTAGCCGCTAGGATGCTGTTAGCAGGTAGCGGTTGTTTTTCCAAGAGCGGTTGCATGAGTTGTTGTAGGTTGTGGCGGTCGGCTGCACAGCAAACACATTCCATGATGCTATGAACAAAAACATACTTTGCCATTATAGTTAGAGAGCGCTAAACCGTGTCTTTCCTCTCCAGATGGAGGTGAATGCAGTGGAAAAACGGCATCGAACACGATCCAAAGGAGTCCGAGGTATGAGTCTGTCTGGCTGGTTTCTACTTTTTACAGCATTTTTCAAGCCTTTCGATTCACTTACTCGCACAAACAAATTCAGCTCGCTTCAGCTGGCTAATGGATCTGATATTTGGACTGTCTCTGCCCCCAAACCATCTATTTTTAATAATAACAATGTTACAAATGTTTAATTAAATGGCTTCATGAAGGCAGGACATGACCACCTGACCCACAGACAGTTTCTGGTTGTGTTTCTTGCTCCTGTCACATTTTTCACTTGCATCACATTTCATATTACTGCAATATAAAGTCCAGCATCTCTATGGAAACAGCAGGGCTTGAAGTAGAGAGAACTTCACAATGTCTTTTTTGTAGTGTAGCAAAGTTATATTGCCATAAATCCTAGAAAAGAAAAAAAAGGAAAGATTATTTTCTTTGATTATATAGTTTAAAAAGAATGAAAAAAAAACCTTGAATTGACATGTACAGCATTTTTCCATGCACACACAAAAAATGTAACAGAAGTCACGTATAAAACAATTAAACTGTAGAATATGTCCCCGCTCTTTGTGCTAAATACAAAGAGGATGATGCCCGACTAAATAAATGCTGAACTGAAGCCCACATACAGTCGTGTGTGTTCATTATCGTCGGCTCGCTCCAGACTGTTGAAGCTGTAACATTAATCTTTGTGTTGTGTCTCTGTCTGAAGCCGCCGTGGAAGCAGTAACACAAGAGTTATTCAGGTAGGTGAACCTCTGCTGACACACACTCCAAAATACATTCATCATCATATTACACTGTCATTATCGCACTGAGGCAGAACCTTGTATTCATCGAAGAATATAATTCTGTAATAATCTGTTATATGCCATTCGGATCCATCGCGGCTCAGTTCTTAGTGTATAACTGAAGCACAGTGAGGTGCAGGGGTCCAGTGGGTTGCTGATCATGCAGCTGGTGATGCTCAAACCATCGAACCTTCCACGAAAACAACCGGATTGTTCAGGAGTGAGCCGGAGATTAACAGGTGGACTAATGTGGCGTGTTAGCGGTGATGTGGAAGCTACAACAGGTTTCTGAGCTGTAAGCGACATGAATTATTGCATATTGTCAGTTTCATGTGAGTACACTCCACAGTTGTGTATCACGTAAGCGTTTTCAGTCAGATTCCATTAGTAATTCTTTACACTTTGCATCCTGTTCAGGGAAACACAGCCGCGAACTGCAACTGCCAAATATCACTGCTACCTCCGTATGTGTGCGATGGGGGAGTTTCTGCTTCACTTAATCTCATTTAGTAAAACTGACAAATATTGGTGTGTGCAGCAGATTATGGTTGAACCCGGTTTGATCCAGGTCAGCGCTTTACTGTAAACAACATGTCCTGTCTGCGCTGTGTGAGCCCAGAGCGAAGGAGCAGAAAACTCAGCATGATTCACCCAGAATTTAAATCTGATGGGTGCTGGTGAGGGCCAGGCATGGACAGAGAAGCTTTGAAGTTCGCAGTAATCGCAGAAAATGATTCATACAGTAAATACTGTGAAATACTATAAGTACACCATGAGCAATCGTTTGAATATTTTCATCAATTTTTATTTTTTCATCACAGTCGCTGACTAATCTGACTAATCTGCAGGGATAAACATGTACAAATAAATTTGTCATTGTGGTGGGATGTGTATTAAAAATTCTACCATGACTTCATTTAAATTGCTAAATAAACACATCACATCTGTCAGCGCAGTGGGAATCAGAGCTACAGTTTGTGCTGCGCCACAGCTGTGAATTTTTTACTTCTAACTCCTGTGATTTCTGGGGTGACTAATGAGTACAGCTAATGGCACGATGTGGACATTTATGGTCCCCCGTGGACGACGCTTGATGTTTTTGGCGACCCCGTGACCTTTTCCTCTGGTGCCAAAATTTCCACTCGTACACAAGAAATATTAAAATTTGATGGACACGTTGTCAGGAGGAATTCTAATAAATCCTGATGTGTTTCTGGCAGCAGTGTGAGCCGAAGCACCTTAATAATGTCACAACCTATAGGGGAGGAAAGGTCGCTCCTCCCCACGCTGGTCTCACTTTGTGTTGAAGTTGGAGAGAAAAAAAGCTGAAGCCAACAAATATCGCCAAAGGAAACAAACTAAAGCAGGATGCAGCTACGTGATTTTCCGATAACAGATGCAGCATATTCCGTTAAAAGTGCACAGTTTTAGTGGTTAAAGAAGAAGTTTGGCATTAATCTATGTCAGAATAACATTTTTTTAAAAAGCCCCAGAACCAGCACTTTATTTTTTCTCTCCTCTGTGTCACTCAGCTCACATTGGTTTCTACAGACGACATAAATCATTAAAAATAAAGTTTTAAATGTTTTCCAGCTGGGCACCGCAGAACTGTTAGTAAAAGTTTATCAAACAGGAGGAGTTAGTGTTGGATTAATACAGATCAGGCGTTCTGCTGAGTGTTTATCAGGTTTATCAGCACACAATACTTGTTAGCTTCGTTATTAGTTTTGATTCTTAAAATTATTCTTAATTTTTATGAAAGTGAGAAAAATGCAGCTTATTAATCGACTTGGAAGCAGTTTAAGGGCGAGAATAATACACGACTGTTATGATTGTTGTTTTTTTGCAGAAATTATTCTGTTTTCTATTGTTTCACATACGCTTGTGTTGTGTAGTTGTTTGTGGCTGTCGTGTCATAGAAATTAGGTTTCTGTACAACTACAATGTTCTTCCAAATACATTTATGTGGGAACGGTTAATTGATTTAAAATCAAAATCGTAATGAATTTTTAAAAATGTAACAATGCAATTAGCAAATCACGAGGGCTGTAATTCAGATGTGGCTATTGAATGAAAATAGAACTTCATTTTATTTAATTTGAGCGGACTGAAACTTTCAGAGCTTGTTCATGGTGCTCAGTGATCAGTGTACACTCCAGGCACGCATGCTGTGGTTTCATATTTTAATAGCCACACCTGCTACATTTTGCAGCTCATCTGATCCAGAATTTAAACAGTTGTGCAAATCTATACCACTGTATCTTATGTGGACATGTTCATTATCCTGAACTGAAGCTTGACCTAAATTAAATTATAGTATCTGTCAGAAAAAACACAAGTAGATACTTCCTCCAAATCATTCAGTCAAACATTATTTTTGCCAGGAGGTGAGATGACAGGAGGTGGTTGGGGTGGATCGTGGGCGTATCAAGCACACAGGGTTCGCTTTGGGTAACTTTAGAGAAAGAAAAGTAAGACATTTTGTTTTAAGTTACTGCGAAATTTTTCTAAATTAAGCTGCAACACAATCTTTGAAAACCTGAACCGAGTGCCACGAATGCTTTAAGCGTGACCATAAAGACGTTTATTAATGCCACCGTCACAACAAGTGTGTCCAAAGTAGAACAGAACATTTAACATGTTCAGTATCAATTTGCAAGTTAACAGTAATTACAATAAGTTTAGTTCCAAACATATTTTCTCTTGCATTTTGGTTGTGTAGGAATGTAATTTCTAGGAAACAGGGTTAGTTACTGAGATACTTCAGCATTTATAAAAGCGAGATTTCTGGATACATTTCAATCAGATTTCTCTTATTTTGTGGATTTTGCAAATTATCCCAACAGTGCAATAGTTAGAGGGAACTCAGTGTCAGAAAGCCACATTTTAGGAAGCTATTATAACACCTGTTGCTCTACTTTAGGAAGGGTTAGCGCTGTACGAGCTTGTTTGTCTCATAATCGAACCCAAATATCTCCTTTCTTTACAAAATCTTCCGCAAATATGCGTCAATTGAGATAGTTTCAATCGTTCTGTTTTGTGTTCGCGATGCGTCGGGGCGTTGGCAAAGTGAGACGGATCCTTGCACAGAGATCAAAGAAAATAATACTGGAGTCAAGAAACTTCCTCAAAGAACTGTACAGTTGCTGTGGAAACAAGTGGAAGTGTTTGAGCGTGGAGGGAAAAAGCATTTTGTAACTTTAAGAAAAGGACGACTTAAAGACTCGCTAAGGCACTCGTGTTTGTTCGCGTCGCATTGTAGAAAATGTACAATGTTTGTTTGACTTTGTGTCAGGGGAGTGAAGGCCACACACACATGCACACACACACACACACACACACACACACACACACACAGAGCAGGAATCAATAACCCAACGCTGTCAGTCTCTGTTCCCACACTGATTGATGAGCTGCCTCACCTTGAACAACCCACCTTCTCTTCTTCTTTTCCTCCATTTTTTAAAAATCTTTCTCCTCATGCTATTTTTCACCCTCTTTTTTTTTTTCCTGCTCCATTCATCTTCCCCCTCTTCTTTTTGTTGTATTCTTCTTTTCTCCTGCTCTTCCGCCTCCATTTTTCTCTTCCTTCCCCACCTCTCTGTCATTCTGTTAATTCCTTTCTTTCTCATTCTCACCATCTGCCTCTTGTCCCTTTGCTTCTTCTCCACCTCTTCCAGTATTTCAGCCCTTCCTTCTTTCCTTCTTTAACCTCCCCTCCCTTCTTTCTCCTCCTCTGCCTCCTTGCGCTCGTGATCATCACCTCTGCCTTCGTGCGGCTCTCATTTTAGCCCGGTAGTTGCAGGGCGTATGGATCAGGTGATGTTTGGTGGGTGGAGGGTGGGTGGAGCTCTGCGGTGCGGGGGTCAGAGGTCGTGGGCGTGGACTCCCTGAAGCCAGGCGGCGTGTGTTGGCTGGCGGTCTGCGTGTCTTCGTTGCAAAGCTTCGGCCTGAAAGCTGCAACAGCATGACTCATAGCGCTGGAGAAATCTGCTGCCGACTGAAGCCACGATGCGAAAAAAAGAAAACATCCAGACAGAAAGAGTTTAACCTGCTACCGACGGTGACACGAACTGAATCAGATGTTTTGAAGTTGTTTACTTCCTTGATCTTGTTCCACACCCACACCTCTTTATTAACCCTATTAGAATGGGGTTGCACAGTATAGCGTTTCAGCATCAGCACTGCAAAGTGTGCATGTGGAATAGAAAGGAAGCTGAACGCGAGTACATTATTTCACAGTTTTTTTTTCCTGCTTAACACAAAATAACTTGCATGGTTCCCATTTTTCATTACTAATCTACAAGATTTCAGCGACAGAAAGATGCAGATTAAAAACACTAACTCTGTCGGCTGCAGTTGTTGTCATCGCACGAGGCAAAGTGATTAATTTGTTTGACCGTTAAAATTGGCACCACAAAGCTCTGTATGACGAGTGCAAAGCCAGATCTGAAAGCCATCCAAAGCAAAAAAAATCATTTCAGACCCGTTTGCCAGTGCTGCACCATATGGGACAGGTTCGAAACGGTTCGCACTCAAAACAAAGTCTTCACAGCAAAAAGTCATTTTTCGGCTGTTTTAAATTATTTTCCGATGCTGACGTGCTCACCTACAGACTCCTCAATTGTTCTAGAATGATTAATTCTTTCCAAATAGAGGTATTTAAATCATTTAGTGGACATCGCTGTTGTTTTTTATGGCAAAACATAGCACAATGTCGGCTTCTTCCGATATCATGCAGCCCAGTGATAGTCAGAAATGCAGAGGGCTGCATTGTTGAAGATCTATTGAGATAAAAACCCTTCAAGAAATCGAGTTTAAGGCTTTTGAAACAGCCAACAATGCACAGTGGTTTGTATTAATGAGACAGAATTTTACAGCTTTGCAAAGTCAGAAAAGAAAAAATGCGACAGTTTGCATGAATCTTTTTGTGTGTTGTAACAACCTCCGAAGAAATAATGTTCAGCCAACAAAGTATATTGTGTTCGCAGAATTAGCTTTTTTCTGTACAATCAAAGGTAATTTTAAGTACCACTTACTTAACAATTGGTAGCATGAGGACACGTTTTTAGGTTAATTAAGTTGCTCCAATTATATTCTCACTCCTGTATCGCCTCCCTTTCATGAGACTACCTCCGTCGGTTTCAAGGTGCGATGGTGAAGTTTGGTCATAACGAGAGATCATGGTATTATGTTAATATTAAATTAACCCAATCACCAACATTAGTGGGTCAACAAAACTCAGCAAAAAATGTTTGTAACTTTAAAGAAATTGTTTTTTGCAGCTCTGCTTGTGATAAGTTGTGGGAAAAGGAAGCCTGAATTACTTTGGGTGGATTTAAAGACTCAAGAATTGCCATGTTTACAAAAATAGTCAAAAAATCCATTAAAATTTGTGACTTCTACATCAGTGATCCGAATGCTCAGAACGTCCTAAACAATCTGCACTTTGCAAACTAACTGCGCTTCTTGCGGCGGAGCTTCCAGGATGTTTTCTTCTGTCTTTTTGTTTGTTTTATGTAGACACTACTTTACTGTTTATATGCTGCTGGGTTTGTTCTGACGGTATGTTTCCCTCTCAGCTGTCCCACCCCCGGCTGTGATGGCAGCGGTCATGTCAGCGGGAAGTACGCCAGACACCGCAGGTAGGAGCCGCTCAGCGCATTTTCTACATTGATGATGAAGTTCTTTTAGTCAGTAATTTTTGGGTGTTAAAACACTGATTGCTGCGTCACCTGATACCGAAACCTTTGCTCTGGTGCTGGTTGGTTCTTTTTCTTTCGACATCATGTTGTTTCTGGTTTTATATTTCTTGTTCCTAAGATGCTGTATGATGCTGTTTTTTATGAAGTCTGATGCTGAGGTTTAAGGATGCCATAAAATGTATACCGCTGTACGCTAGCTCTGTTAGTAAGCACACAACACTGAGTCAGCCACGCCGACACTGTATTACATTAAAAACAAAATCAGATACAACTTGGTAACACAACAGTAAAATAAAAGATCTTCAGATCAAAAGATAAAGTCAAAGAAAAATTTAAAAAGTGATGAAAGTAAAAAATAAAACTAATATAATAAAGATGACTAAAATCAAGGAATTATTCAAAGGTTCACAGATAAATGTATGTTTTAAGAATAGGTTAAGAAGCAGCCTCGGGGTCCTGACTTCACACGCCTCTGGAACAGAGAAAAGATTTTGGATGTTGAATCTCGAGCTACATTTTGCCTTGTATGGTGTTAAAAGGTCATGAATGTGCTGGGAGAGAGGCCAAGACGAGCCTTTAAAGTAACCAGTAAGATGTTAAAATCAAAACTAAAACATACTTTTAAGCCATGTACGGAGGCTAAAACTGTTTAGGTGCTGCTCAGATTCTCCGCTGTAGGTCAAACTGAAGAGGAAGTACGTGAAGCGAAGAAAGTAGAAAGCAAAGTTGAGAACATGTTGGTGTGTTTTTTGAAGACAACAGGAGTAAAGGTCCCTTAAAAGTGCCTGGAATTTGTGTTTTCAATCGTTCCATTAAAATCCACTGAAACTGATTTCAATTCCAACCTCTCTGACGAGCTGACCCTGCCAACTTGTTAACTTTCCTGCTGCAGTTTGATGTCGCTGCTTCATTCAGTTAACAGAGATCATACGCTTCATATAGAACTCAGAAATTCCCTTGACATGTGATCTTCCACAGCCTGGATGTGTTTTTCTCATTGATGTAAAATATTCAGTTTAACTTTCAGGAAGTGGTTTGAATGTAGTTGCAGATTCTTTTGCAGACATAATATCCATTGATTTTAATCTTCAACAATTACAAATTAGCACTTAAAATAAAGAAAATAAACCTTTAAATACCATTAAGATCATCATGTAGGGAGATAGAAATCACATACAACATCAACTGAGCATTCAAATAGACAAAATGACAAAATAAATAGTGTAAAAAAAAAAAAAAACCCTGAGTAATAAAAAAAATGTACAGACTTTTCTTGGGTGCTTGAACTAAAATATGAAATGTTGGGGTTTGCTGCAGCCCAGCCTGCAGGCTTCAAACGTCTCACTCAGCAGCTGCGAAAACGAATCCTACCGACATTAAATGGACTCACGTCACGCTTTCAGACCTCCTCGATCGGCAGGTCGCAGCCTTCATCTCAGAAAATTCGCCCCTCTGTCACGAGGCTGCAGATAGAAAAGCAATCTGGTGGAGTGTGGAGCTGTGAAGTCACACCAGCCGATGGCTCGGGCTGCAGGTCACACGGCTTCTGCCTCAGATCTCAGTCACCTTTGGAAATATTGAATTCCAAACAAGAGTAGAAGCATCTGCAAAAAAGTGCCAATAAGATGTCATGACTTCATTTGTTTCTAATTGCAAATATGTTGTTTTCACTTATTTCCTTGAAACAAGTAAAACGCTGTAGAAGTACCGAACTTTCTTCTGCACAGGTCGAAAACTTCTGAATTATATATAAAACAGGTGAAATATATATCAAAGCAAGTGTGCTGCAGCTGCAGTGAAGTAGACGTGGATCACAGAAGGGTTTTTCCTCAAAGAAAATCTAACTTGAAATCTGCAGATGTGACTGTAGAAAAGGAAAGTAAAGTCTTTTTTTTTTATTATCCAAGTAAAAGCAACAGATTTAAGCATCCATTATGAAATCAGGGCACTTGTTGAGATATTTTGTGGTTATTTTGGAGTCTCTCTATGGTATTTTAAGTGCAGTTGGTGCGTGTGTGTGTGCGTGGGAGGCTGGCATATAGAGTATGCACGGCTAAGGACAGCGGTGGTTTGACGCCTGAGGTAACACAGAGATAATGAGAAGGGCAGGATGGTGAATCGCTGGCAGGGCAGACTGATGGAGCAGCGAAGGGCACAGAGACACTCAGGAAATTCAGCATCAGGCAACACAGAGTCAAAGTAATATGAAAAAAAATCACACTTTCTTATAAATCCTGTTTTTTTCAAGGATAACACATGATGTTTGTAGAAAAGAAGGAATGAGATTGGATTGAAACACTCACTCTTCAGTTTATTTTGCTGCTCCGTTCTTTATGTTTTTTCCGAGGGCTCTGTTGTATTTATGTTACGTTTTATCTGGTAGCAGTGACCTATGACCTCACTGCCGGCTCTTGGCATGCACCTTGGTGTGTACTTGGTACGTGTTGGTTTTGGAATTCGTGCTCACTGTGTTTTTGGTAAAGCAGAGAAAATCAAAGCAATGCATGAATGAACACTTTTGTCTCGAAAAGGAAAACAGGTAAGGGTTAAGGTAAACCATTCAGACTTCTTACTGCAACAGTAAGGTTACTCAAACTTTGCAAACTGTCAATATGAAATGACTCTTTGAATCTTTCTTCCATGTTAACAATACCTTCCTTTCTTAAAATGATTTAGATATAACTCTACAGTGTTGAATTCTTCACGGTGGAAATGCTCAGCCATGGCACCGACTGCTTCTTTCTCTTATGACGTGTCTTCTAGCATATAAAAAACACCATATGGACCTGTTAACGACTAGATTTTCACCTGAGGGACGCTGTAACTTTACTAACCACCATACTGAGCAGTCCAGTTTCAGCTTTAGAATTTCACAAAGTAGCACGATTTCTTTCTGTTTTTGTCTATCTTGAGGATACGGCCATCTTGTTTGAATAAACTTTTTTTGGAACTATGAGAGCTTCAGTTTACCTCTGCAGTGTGAACAGAGAAGTCACAGATTGTGGCTGCACCAAAGCTGATTGAAAAGTGTGTGTGAGTTAATAGTCGTAAATGTTTAACAAAGTTTAGGGCTAACCATGCTAGCGTGCTACAGCTGATGGCTGACGGAGAACAACTGCTATAAAACTCACTCAAGTACGTCCGTTCTGTGAGATGAGTACATCGACATAAATAGAACAGCAACTGTTTGGATCCTGTCATATACAGTAAGTGTTGAAAGGTTTCGGACAAATACAGCTACTGTTAGACCCCTATGTACTTAAGTAGGAATACATTATTTTCCGTTTGATTAGGGATTGAGCCAATTCTTCCATTTGAATTTTTATTAATACCAAGTAATATATGCATCTAAACTTTTAAAAGCAGTATTGAATATGTTTTGCTGCCACTGAACTGAATTAAGAGCTAGCAACAGAACAGGCAGCTCATTAATAGAAGCCACCAACTTATGTGGAGTTCCACAGGGATCAGTTCTGGGCCCACTAGGGTTCCACCTGTTAACATTCCCTCTTGGTACCGTCACACAAATGTCATAATGTATCCTACCACTGTAATGCCGATGATAAACAGCTGTATGGCTCACTTTCCTCACTTTCCTGTAAGTTATCTTGTTAGGTGACATCAACCTCGAAGCGTACCAAAACTTTCCTAAAAACTTAATCAGATGAAGGTGAATTTCAACACAATGGTGCTGTGTTCTGCTGAAACAGTATCTTCTTTTCAGAGTAAATCTTGATTCTCTTTTAGTAGTTGCATGTTTATGTATGCGTCTCTGTTGTAATCTGTGTGTACATATAGTTGTAGAATTGTATTTTTTGTGAGTGGATGTGCCGTATGGGTTCTAATATCTCACATAAATTTCCTTTCTTATCTGTTTCATGTGTTGTCTGTGTTTATTGTAAAGCACATTGAGTTTACCTGCGTATGAAATGTGCTACACAAATAAAATTGACTTGACGGAGCAAACTCCTAAACCGAAAAGACAGTTTACATCAGCACTGAATGTCAGACTGCATGAACAGTGACAGATTCACTTACTGACAGACGTATCGAGGTGGACTCGCTGCTTAGCTCACGAGTACGATCTTTGAACTGAACGACACGATTTGAATCAGCAAAGTAATGTGTGATTTCTGTCTTCACTAGTTCGGACACACATATAGTCAGCACTCCACATCTTCTGCTGCTATGTTTATTTGCAATGTGAGCCACGTAAAGTTCTTTAACAATGAGTGTAGTCATTTTCTTAACTCAAGTTAAACTGGACAATTTACAGAGACCTGAGCAGTCGTGGCAGAAACCCAACTAATTATTATTGGGAGTCAGATTGGAATCAGGGCCAAAAAACTTGATCAGGGCTCTACTTTTGATCATACTGGAGATTGCTGTGGAAGAGTTTGAGTGTCACATCAGATCCAACTAACTATTAAAGTTACACGCTGCACTTCTGTGCTCTGTGTGTCTAGTTGTGTATCGAGCTGAATGGAACAGCTTGGGCTAACTAACTATTCTGTTGCAGATGCGCAAATTTCATTTTTTTTCCCCGAAAACCTTTTGTTTGTTTTTTCATGAAAGCTCAAGTTGAAAGGTCATTCTTGACATTGTAAACAAAAGCAACAATGTCGCCGCAGGACTGTTTTTTCCTTTTATAATCTCTGATAAATACTCACGCTGACAAATTACTGAAGTGAGAAAAGTGACAGCAAGACAGAGATAGAGACACATGGAGTCAGACAGACTCAGAGAGAGAAGTAGGCCTCTCATGGTTCCTCTCTGGGGACATGACAGATGAATTACTTAATCAGTTAATCATCCGCTGATCACAGGAGTGTACAGTACACAAACTTCGGATTTTACAAAGACACAGCGGAGGGGAGAACACAGCGTCTCCGAATTTGTTTCCTGTCTGATTTCTTCTTGCTGTTTATTTGCAGCCTCTT